CACTGGACTCACTACTGCCAGATGAGTAAATTCAGCAAAATCAAAACCAAATTCATAATAAAGATGAAATGGAGATTTCAGATTTTCTCACATAGCCATAGTAATCTGGTTTAGGGCAGTAAAATATTTCGTTGAGGGTAGGATTCAGTGGTCTCAAGTATATAGATGATCATTTTGGTTTTGGAGCATGTCTGGAGGTGATGATAATAGCACCTGGCCAGGAGATAGGATTTACTGTGTATGTTCAAGTACTGTCTATTTAACTACTACAGTGTTTAGTATAAAGTTAATATGTACTTAAGGAGCAGGATTTCCCTTGTCTGAGGAATTCTATGAGATTCCATATGGATAGCATACTGATGTAAGATTCAGAAGAGTAGTCTTTCTCAGAAATGTAGTAAAAACACCCAACCAAACACTAATGTCTCCTGTGATGCTTCAGTACTTGTGTATTTGCAGTATCACGAATCTGAAGGATCACAGTCAAGGACCTTTTTATTTAAGGTGTCCTGAAAATAAGGCACATTAACTCTGTTTCAAAGTACTTACACAATCAAAGTACACAAGAAGTTTGAAGACAAATATGGGGGCGGGGGAGTTCAGTGGCTGTATGTGTACACCATTAGCCTGGAGATATTGGCAATCTCAATACTGTAAAAGATGTTTTTATAGGCACTGGGGTGGAGAGGATGTTCAAAAGACTTCTGAAAGGGAATGAGATGAGAGCATGGTAATGAGGAGGGAAAATAAAGGCAAAAAGACCCTTTTATTTCGGAGTACAAGTAGGTAGTCAAGGCTGACATGTGCTGACAAATGAGTTTTGATAACATAACTTTCAAGGTTTGGGGATAATGCTTTGTGGCATATAGAAGAAAAATATCTTTGTACTTCTATAATAAATAGTGGAAGGATTAAGCGGGCTAACAGGCAAGGAAATGTATTGGACTGATGAAATTTCAGATTCAGAAGCATTCTGATTGAGGGTTAATATAGCAGTTTTCTTTATCAAAAGGAAAATCTATTTCCAGAGTTCTGCTGCTTGTAGTGAAACCATGAGTTATGTACTTGAACCTAGGTTCTTTCATAGTTAGTTGAACAAATGTGCCGTAATTTTAATTAAAATAAATGGGAATTTGGTATCAAATCACTGATGCTCCAGAAAGTTTCAAAACCTACTTCCCTAAACCCTCAGTTAGCATAACTGAATATCTGAGTAAGAGAGGAGCCCTTCATTGTCTTAAAAGTTTTGATGTCACCTGAAATCTATGCCAAATAATTTTTGTTGCAATTTGAATTCAAAGGTTATTTTAAGTGTTCTTATAAAGTAAAAAATAGGCTGTAGGCTCTCTGCAAAGACAAGGAGAGTTGGTGATGGCAGCTGAAACTTGGCCTGCAGAATGATGTCCTTGGTCAAAGAAGCCAGCAGTGAAACACTTGGAGGGACTAGGAGCCATGATGAATTTGATTTGATGGTAAGATATCTCTGTGAATGTTATAGAACAGAGATGAGATGTCTTGATTTGGATGAAATAAGTAGAAGAATTAATCTAAATGCTAGCAGATGTACCAAGGCTTTTGAATTGACAGTTCTAGAAGAAAAAGGGTAGAGCAAAGACCCTCTGTGCAGTTTCTTTAGAGAGCTTGAGAAGCAGATGGATACCTTCAGAAACGGCAAGGAGGACCTGGTGAACTATAGCCTGGTTGGCCTCACCTGGATCCCTGGGAAGGTGATAGAACAACTAATCCTGGAAACCATTTCTAGGCACATAAATGATGAGATCATCAGAGTAGTAAATGTATTCATAATGGGAAGTCATGCTTGATCAACATGATAGCATTCTATGACAAAGTGCCTGGCCTAGTGGGTAAGGGGAGAGCAGTGGATATTGTCTGCTGTGACTTCAGGAAAGCTGTCTCCCATAAGATCCTCATAGAGAAATGGTTGGTGTATGGGCTGGATGAGGAGACAGGTGAATTGAAATTTAGCTGAATGACTAGGCCTGGATAGTGGTGATTAGTGGTACAAAGTCCAGCTGGAAGCAAGTAACAAGTGGTGTACCCCAGGGGGTCAATACTGGGTCCAGTCCTGTTTAACTTCATTAATGATCTGGATGATGGGGCAGAGTGTACCTTGGCAAGTTGGCAGGTGACACTGAACTGGGAGTAGTGGGTGATATGCCAGAGTGTGCTGCCATCCAGAAGGACCTCAGTGGGCTGGAGAAATGGACTGACAGGAACTGTGTGAAGCTCAATAAGGGGAAGTGCAAAGTCATGCACCCTGGGGAAGAACAATCCCATGCACCAATATATGCTGGAGGCCACCCAGCTGGAAAACAGCTTGACAGAAAAGGACCTGGGTGGACACAGAGTTGAATGTGAGCCAGCAATGTGCAATTGCTGTGAAGATGACTAATGGTATCCTTAGTGTTGCTTGCAGGTGGAGGGAGGTGATCTTTCCCCTCTATGCATCACTGGTGAGACCACACCTGGAGTTCTGTATCCATTCCTGGCTCCCCAGTACAAGAGGGATATGGACACATACTACAGAGAGTTCAGCTAACGGCCACAAAGATGATAAAGGGCATGGAACACCTCTCCTATGAGGAAAGCCTGAGAGCTGGGACTGATCAGCCTAGAAAAGAGAAGGCTCTTTTCACTGGTGCCCAGTGACAGGATACTGGCACATGTTGCCCAGAGAGGTGGTGGAGTCTCCATCCTGGGAGACATTAAAAAAAAAAACCCACCTGGACATGGTTCTAGGTAACTGGTTTTAGGTGGCCCTGCTTGAGCAGGAGGTTGCATCAAATAACTTCCAGCAGTCCCTTCAAAGCTCATATGTTCTGTCATTCAGTGATCACATTTCATAGGAACAGTCAGAATATTTCAAGTTGGAAGGGACCCATAAGGTTCATTGAGTCCAATGCCCTGTTCCTTACAGGACTACCTAAAACTAACCCATATGACTTAGAGCACCATCCAGATGCTCCTTTTACTCTGACAGGCTTGGTGCTGTGACCGCTTCCCTGGGGAGCCTGTCCCAGTGACAGGCCACCCTCTCGGTGAAGAACCTTTTACTAATGTCCAACCTGAACTTCCCCTGATGCAGTTTCAGCCCATTTCCTTGTGTCCTGTTGCTGGTCACCAAAGAGGAGATCAGTGTCTCCTCCTCCACTGCCTGCCTTGAGGAAGGTGTAGACTGCTGTGAGGGCACCCCTCAGCCTTCTCCATTCCTTTAATGTTTCTGTTGGATTCTGTCATCCTCAGTTGTCATTTGTAGTATGAAGTGCCTTAATCTACTTAATTGTTCCTTGTATGTAAACTGTTGTATACTGTTGGTCATCTTGGGAAGTGTATCAGAAACTATATCAGTTCTTTTATGTTCTTTCCAAATTGGGAAACAGGACTGTGAATACACACAGTCAGGTAACCAAGTTTTCTTTGTTCTCTTCTTGTATTTTCTAAAATTATATTTGTTTTTTACCACTGGGCCAATCTTAACTATAGATGTTCTGTAGGTAGTGAAAGCACAGAACCTATTACTTTGTATGATGTTAGGATATATAAATTCATACATGTGCGTAGGTATTAACTTCCAAGTTTCCCTCGTATGGTTTACTGCTGGGTTATTTGCCATTTTCCTTCCCTTGACATTCAGGTTGGTTTGCAGCTACAGATTAAAGACCTAGGCATCTGAACTCCTGTTGTAGTTTATAGAAAGATAGTGCAATTACTTTTCTTTGTCCCTTTTGTTCTGTAATTTGTCTTGAAGACAGTTGGCGGCACCATCCAATGCATTCCCTGTAAGGAAGGGCTCTACCATGAGAACCTTGTCCAGTCTTTCTTGATTGTGTAGCAAAAAACCTTAAGGTATACATATCTTATTGTACATCACTGATTTGGCCTCGCTCTGGCAGGTTTCCCAACTTGAGAATGTTTGAAGGACTTTTTTTTTTTAGGCTGTCTACAAATTCTTTGTATTATCTCTGACCTGCTTTTCTGAGTATTTTACATTTGCTTTATTAGCATTTGTCCTTTGAGGTTAGAGACAAGTTCAGCTTTTTAAGTGATAGCTCTCTTAATACCTCTCCTTACACTGCTGTTCTAGCCTTACTGAGCTCCTTTTGCCCTTTTTGAAGCTTTTTCTGACAATTGTGTATTTGCTCTGACTTCCCATGGGACTTACCTGAATGTCTTCCCATAGTGTGTATATATATTTTACTCCTTTAAATATTTTTAAACATAATTTATATAGCTGACTTTTTTGAAATTAAGTAATACCAGAACTGATTTGTTGGTTTTGCAAAGGTTCCTATCAAGTGGTTCCTTGATATTTTGAGTCAGTTTCTGTTAATTGTTCATGTTAAACTTCTTTAGTTGCTAGGTAACTTCTTAATGAAATAAAAATTTACAGTTTCTAAAAATATGCTCTTAGCATCGTACCCTGATACAATTCAAATCACCATGGTGGTAACTGAACTCTCCTGTTACTGGGTTTCCTATCTCTGCACCTTCCTAGTCTCCTCCAGCCTGGTGCAGTAACCATCCGAGTGGTATAATACATCTCAGATTGTTTATTCTTCCCATAGTAACTCTTAAAATAAGCATGTAAATGGTCTCCTAATACAGGAGAAAGATGATTTCCCACCTATTGCCACTCCAGTCCTATTAACTGTTTTTGAAATGCAGAAAGACCTTCTCATCATGTGGATCTGGTGTTCTAATTACTTTTCAAGAATAAATCTGTGCTGGCTCTAAAAACTGTACTTTTTTCCCTCCCTCAAATGTTTTTTCCATGTTTTTCAGCATGTCCCACTTTCTGCTGCTTTCACTTGCACCCTGTCTGAAGGATGCCACGAAGATTGTAGCTAGTGATTCTTGAATCTTTTTACTGACTTTTTTTTTACTTGGTATTGACTATTGTCTATGCCAGTAGGTTCATGTCCCTTTCTTTGGCTTCACTTGGAAAGTGTCACATTTGCTATTTCTTTATATTACTTCAGCAGGCTGTGTCTGGGAACATCACTGCTCACCCCTGCCCCCACTACAATGAAGTCAAATAAGCAGCTGGTACCCTGTCCTGAGGAGGCATTCTACAGATTAGCCAAAACCAAGTAATAAGCACAGTTTTAAATCACTTACTCTCTAGGCTTGTTTAAAATACTTTGTGACTGTGTTTTGATCAGTTATTAATATTAATAAAATCTATCCTGATTGTATCAAGTATTTACATTTTTGCATTCTTCATTTAGTGATGCAATTTTTCAAATAGTAATTATTTGTGATAAAATGATTATATTTTTTTCTGATAAGTTTACCAATGATAAATTATATGAATTATTTGAAATGGCATAGGAGATCTTAAGGCCAGATCTGAATTTTACTTTATAATATTGTTTAAGCAGGACAGAGTATTTTCACTCAACTACTACACTTGAGATCAACTAGATGATGGCTTAATAGGTAGAAAGGTAGTGTAGAGGTTGTGCTTGTTTGTTTTCTTCTATGTATCTGTTACAGTATACAATAAGGGTGTGAATTCCTCAGAACCTCCATGGGGTGAGATAATCTCCTTTAAAAAGGAGATGTCTATTAGCAATGTTTTAGACATCCTGTTTTTAAAAAGAGCATAAATTATGCAAATATCTCACAGATTGTACCTCTAAGTTTCTCCCTTTATTATAGGGAGGTTGGGGGGGGAAGGCCACCTCTAAATGGATTAAATATTTTTCAAGATTTTTCTGGTTTAGGTCTCAGATTTTTCATCCATATGTTAAATGTCCAAAATAATGGAATGCAAGTTAATGTTTATCATTCTTTCAGAACTTTAAAAGCAAATATACTGTTACTCCTTGTTCTTAAATACATAGAGAACATCAGGTTATATCCTATAATCACCCTGCACATTAATACATGTCTGAATGTTTCCTACAACACCTAGAAATACCTTCTTTAGAACCAGAAGAAAATGTAATTTTTTTGACCCACTCAATCTCTTGCATGCGGTGTGGTCTTTGGGTTGCATTTAGAAGCTTGCATGCAATCAGAAGGGAGTTGCAACTGATTCCTCTCTGCAGGGTTTGAGTACGATATAGCCTGACAGCTTCAAATTAACCTGTTATTCTATGATTGTGATTTCACATACTATTAAGTCAAATTCTAGTGAAGTTGACTGATTCCAGCAAATTGGTTTGGGTGCCTATGTCTATGCGAGAATGGCTCAAGCTAGTGAGAAGCTCATGACTGAATCACATGTCTAGTTTGTATCTTTCTGCATTTATTGCATAAGGTGTGTAATTGGATTCAAGTGTACAGAAAAATGGCAAACTATAAACCTTTTAGACTTTTTCTGGCTGTAGCAAAGCAAAATTGTCATGATGTAGGGGAGGGAGCTGTTGGAAGGGAAGCCAAGGGTGTAGTATTTAATGGTAAGTGATCCATGTATTCACAGGGGCCGTGGGGGTGTGCCTCCACCACCAGCAGGAGTACCGAGAGGGGCACCAGCACCCAGAGGAGTGCCTCCCAGTAGAGGACCAGTTAGTCGTAGCCGTGGACTTCTAGCACCCAGAGCAAGAGGAGTACCTCCACCTGCAGGCTACCGGCCCCTTCCACCACCTCCAGCACAGGAGACATATGGTGAATATGTAAGTTGAGCTGTTGACATACCGTGCATAAAGTGTATAATTTTAGAGGGGTGATCCTAACCATCATTTCAGAACTCAGTAGAATCTCTTCAGTGCCTAATTAAATCTTGCACCCAGCATCTATGGCAAATGTGGTCCTCTCTTGTGTCACCTTTTCAGACTTGAACTGTTTCATATTAATAAAACTTCAGGTTATATGTACTACCATAAAGGCATTTACAGTGCATTTGACAAAATAGTTATGTACCTCTTAAACATATTATATTAGGTTTCTGCTTTACAAAAATCCGAAAAAACATGTTGTCAGTAGATTTTTAATTCTCAACTAAAATGGAGAATAATATTCTACTCTTCTTCCTAAACCTACCCCTGTGGTCCTGTAACTGTTCAACTACTAGACAATTAAAATATTTTTATGAAAACTTCAGAAATGGTCCTAAAATTTTAAGTGTATACTGTATCTCAAGAAGCCAGACAGTTACCTTGATTTTATTGTATTAAAAATTAAAAAACATACCAAAATACTTTGTATGTGACTGAAAATTATAGAGAGTTATAAATTGTTGGAGTAAATTTAATTTAAACTGAACTTACAGAGAATGAGATAAAGAAAAAAGCTTATTAAATCAAAACTATTGTCATAAAAATGGATTTAGTCTGGAAAGTATTATTTTTCTGTGAGGACACTGCTTTTAATGTTTTATGTATCTTAAAGCTTTTAGCGTGCCCTCTCTTACAGCCAAGCCTGTCTGGACTTTGTCTCTGTTGTTCAGACTAGTGAAAAAGGAATTCCCGAGCTCCAGAAAATGGTTTTGCTACTTAGACATTTTTTGCTTTTCTCTCAAACTTTCTTCCACCTACCTTCTCCCCCTCTCATTTCACCCCACCCCCAAACCCTCTAAATCAAATCTCAACTATTGTCCTTTTGATCAGAACCGTCATTTTCTATATGAAGCTTACAGCTTTATGCAAAATGAATTTTTGTGTCGTTAGTACAAACATTTATCCATATACCTGAAGAATTCAGAATAAATTAATGTGGTTTATTAATGTTAATAATCTCTCTCCTTGCTCTTCTGGATTGTTTAAGTAGTCCTTTTTTAAAAGATAATATCAAAATGGGAAGTAGAATACCTATTTCATTTTGAAAAATTAGAAGGGTTAATTCTGGAGGCGGTATCATACACAGGGAAAAATCATGCTGCAGGCAAAAAATAATTCACTTGAATCTAGGTGCATTTTAACATGGGCTCAAGACCAACAAAACTAGGTGATCATTGCTGTCCTTTGCTTAGAGCCCCTACGGAAGCTGTCCAGAGCTTACCTGTTACAGAAAGCTTTACGCAGAGGTAGGCTACCTCCCTTGTCTGTCAGCTTTCTGGGATGTTTGTAATGCTGACTCTGGATGCCTGATGTGGCCTTCTCTGCTGAAGTCACGCAACATAGTGGACTAGTACCAATATCTGCATGTTTTTCCAGTTCAATATAACTAGTTTTCCCATGCCACTGCTGCCAGTCTCGCTTATGTATCTCAGCCCCAGGACCCATTCCTCCTGGGGCCTCAACGTATTGTTAGTACCATGATGAAGGTTTTGCAACCACTGAATGACAGTTCTTTATAATTTTCTGTGAACATTGTCTTTTTAATAGCTGTAGCATCAGCTTAGACGATAGCAAAAATTCAGGCCCCTACAGCCAGCCAGCTTCACAGTCACTGTTCCAACCTCACTGCTATGTTTGGTGCGATAAACTTCCTCTGAAGGCTAAAATGCCTCCCATTTTTATGTTTTCAGCTGCTCAGGTCAGGAAAAAGCCTAGTATGATGTGTGAAGCGTGGCCAGGATTATTTTTATAATACTTGGATAAGGGAAATCATATACACGGTTGCTAGTTTTACTTAAGCACTTACAGATAGTTTCAGGGACATCATTCTCTTTATATGAGAATTTTTCTCTCCTCCTTGAACCAAACTGTGTAATAGATAAAAATATTTTTGTGTATTTTTATGTTGACAATTTATTCCATTAAGATAAGAAATAGAAATTGTATTTAACTACTAGCTGGAGATTGTAAGCTTGTCTATCACTTTCAATAAGCAGGAAATCAGTGACTGCGTGCTAACAATTCACTACTAGTGTCAGTTCCTTAGCCAGTGTTCAGTCAAACATAGGTTAGACCACAACTGTTCAGTCTCAGTTGCTGTCTAGTAACAGTAGCTCCTCTCTGCCTCTTCTTTTGTCCTCTTCTCACCAGCTTCAAACTTTGAGGCTTTTTCCAAATCAGTAACACAGCAATGTGTCTGAAGCTTTTTTTAAGATGAGATTCTTATTTGTTGCTATTTTCATTTTACAAAGGTGAAGGTCTTGCAAATATTCTGTAAATATTTTGGTTCTATACTTTGTATGAATATATTTGTGATCACACCATGTCAAGTCCCATTTTGGCTGCTTAAACATGTTAAATGCAAAGTGATGTTCTATCTGAGTTGATAATCAGATTTTTTTAGACAGTAAGAATTGGACTTAAACATGGATTTAAACCCCGTTGATGTGGCAGTGTGGAATGTCTGCAGTGAAACATAAAACTCGTCGGTCTAGCAAGTTATGGCCAAGACTTGCTTCAATACTATTTCAGAAAGCAACCAGTTCCTTCCTAGTGTGTGGAGTGTGTGTGGGGGAAAGTTGTGGCAGAGCTTCAGGTCTGTTTCTGGCAATTTTATTGATGTTTTCTTGTGTTCAGACAATGTTTACCTCAGCGGCAGATTTTTCTAATGCAGTGACCACATGTATAATTTCTAGCAGTTAATGCTTCAGTTAGAATGCTTCAGTGAGATTGCTTTCTGTAATAAGAAATTGAATTAAGATGGAATGTCTACCAGTAAGAGACCTAGGGAGCCCTTCTAATGTTAAGTAAATTGTAACTTGAAAAAGAACATTATGAACTATTTCCAACTGCATGCAATTTTTTCTTAAATTAAAGATACAGATACAGACTACTTAGAAGGGTACACAGAACACTTGGATACAAAAGGGACGCTGATAAGACTCCAAAATCTGCATTCAGTTATTGCCTGATTCTGGAAGATCCTGAAGCTTAGGGATTGCTAAGTTTTAAAAGCTTCAGTTCCTGAAGCATACGTTTCTGGATATTTCCAGAAATATGTTGCTTTTACTGGTGGACAAGGTAGTACTTAGGACCTAATTCAGACTTCAGACTTAGTATGAGGATTACAAGCTTTACTATGAGACTATACTCACACTGTGTATACTAGAAGATACATATAGATTATAGATACTACAATAGTATGAGACTATGCTCATGCTGTTTCCCATGAGAAATAGGGAAGACGCAAAAGGCATGGCATAACATGCTGGCTAACAAGATCCCACCCAAATGATAAGCAGATGATGTGGTGCTGTATGTCTCTTCTTAATTTAAAACTCAGTATTTCTCCAGTAGTGAAAGGCCTTTAGTTCAAATGCCTGGTGCAGGTGTTCATATTCCCTTGGTTCTCGCTGGAGATGGTGAGCTCACCACCAGGGTACTGTCTGTCTCAGCATACGCATTGTCAGGAGCAGTGATTTCTGTCCTTGCGATTTTTGGAAGAACTTCCTATAAATTTGTGGGAAGATTCTAGGGAAGTTTGTTCTCAGGTCACATTTGGCTAGATGGCTAAGAACAGAAATCCATTTCATGATCCAGTGATTATTATAAAATTTGCATCTATGTATCCATTAGTGAAGAAATGAACACAGTCTTATTATTTACAGGTGAGAGCCCATTCAGCTGAATAACCTGTAGCCTGTTATTTAGTGCTCCTTCCTAGAAAGCTGGTGCAAATTCTTTTTTGATCGCCAGCATTAAGCTTGAATTCTCTCTCTTCATTGAGATCCTACTTAGTTTAGATTTGAAAAAACTGAAAATTAGGATGAAAACAGCATGCTGTGGAAGTAATTTCTTGCATCTATTTATATAATGTTGATTTTGCAGGGTAAAAAGTAGACTTTTTTCCTCATTAATGTTCGCTTACTGTTACTGAACTTACTGTTTGTGGTTGAAAAAGGAAAGATCTGTAGGAAAAAAAGAGCAAAAGCTTTGTGAATACTAAATATGAAAAGCCCTAAGCTTTTTGTTTACAAATAAATGCTCTTTGGAGTTGAGGTGGTGAAGTAAGGGCTAATCCAGGTGACGTAAGACTTTGAAAAGAATTTAAATTCTCCCTAAGTTCAAGTATAACTTCAGTGTTACTTTGCAAGAGTCACACCGTGTTTTAATTTACTGTGGTCTTATGAAGACTGATAGCTTTGTAATAACATGCAATATTTTAACCAAATTAATTTCACATGGTTTTGTTTGCTTAGTTGTGTTGAGTGTAAAACATTTTGTTTAGGTTCCTGGAAAAGGGTTTGGGCTGTGTTCTCTAGGAACTAAAGAAATGATCTTTTGTCCATTCTGTCTGTTGCCCTCTGTGGATAATGCTGTGGTTTCTACTTGGGTCTTATACCTGATTTAAGCAATGTATTGAGTTGTGGCTTTTCAGAAGTGCTAAGACTATTCTTAAAGTCAGGGTGAACTCAGCTAAGGCTTTGGGAAAGCAAGTTCCTAACAGCAAACCATTATTTCTTGGTGGTTTTGCCAGTTAGTGTTCTTTTTCTGCTAAATAGGACAAGCAAGAAGAAATAAATGTTAAAAAAAGCTTTAAAGTTAAGTCCCTCAATTGTTTCCTTTCATTTTTAATCTTTTACATTTACTGTTTTTTGGAGTTTTCAGGATGAGGTGGAGAGAGAATGGAAAATATTTTCATTTTGACAGGAACTCAAACGACCTTCACTGTGGAAACAGTGGAGCGGTTTTTGGGGAAAGGCTGAAAAGCTTTTCCACCTGCCTGTCTCAAAGTTGAAAGTTCACCTACAATGTGCATATAAACTAAAATAATTTGAGAAGAAAATATTTTAAGCTACTGATGTAAGTTGATCATGTTCTGACTTGATATTAATGAGCTTCAGTTGTCCTCCTGATTGACACCACTCCCTGCTGTTCTGCATTGAAAAACAGAATTGTTTTGGCCTGATAGTAGCTAGTATACTGTCCATATTCATGATCAACTCTGGTTTGGGGTTTTTTTTGAGGTGAATGAAAGATAATCCACTAGTACATCTCTCATTCCAGGAATACCCTATTTGTTCTGGCTGAATATGCACTAGGCTTCTTCTAGATGAAAACAGATGAAAATCTACAAAATAGGAGCTTACATTCTGTGCATGTTTGCTGCTATAATGTGCTTTGTGTTATCACTCAGATTTCAGATGGTAGTAGCTACCCATATTTGTTTTGGTTGCCCCATATTCCTCATTGATGAAATGATGGGGACATGTTTCCGTGTAACAAAATGGCTGTTCCTTCCCTTTACAATTCTAACGTGCCAAAAAAAAAAAAAATGCATTGCTCTGGTGTTGTCTCGTGTTCTTCCTTCAAGTTAATCTCTGCACAAACAATTTTTTTTGAATGTGGTAGTTTTCATCTAAAGGGAAGATGTTCCCCCAGCATTCTATGATAAAGTACTGCTGTAAGTATTAATTTCAGAGAATGATGAGGAAAAAACCCCACCTTTTAGTTGTAGTGATAACAGCCTTAATTTTTTCCCTTGGATGGATTTCCTTAGTCGAGGAGAGCTGGAAAATTGATTTCTTATTGATTACGTGATTTTTTTTTCCCCCAGCACTGCAAATGGCCTTTTTGTTTAAATGAACTTTTTACCCTCTTCTTTCTTCCTGTTTCTCTGTCTTGTTCTCTTTGAAACATTGTTAATTTTCCCTAAAGAGGGCCCAAACACTAGTCTGTCATTGTCACTGCCAGCAGATTATAATTTAAAGCCACCATTTCCTATTCCCCACAAACAAGGGTATGTTTAGAGTACTTAATTATTACAAAGAAACACTGTTGAGCAAGGCTTAGCATGATTTGTAATGTTTTGGGTGGTGCAGAGGCTTTGGCAAAGATTGCTTTTATCTTTTAACTGGTGATAGTAACTTACTATTCAATAAATTTGAAGATTACATGTTAACACATTGCCTTTGGTTCTGTTCAAGAAAAATGTCTGCACTTTGCACTGAACAATTACTGAGACCAGTGCTGCTCTCTGGATTTATATCAACTGTGGGCACTGTCATTGAGACAACTGCAGGCAGAAGCTGTCTTTAAGAGGAAATCTTACACAATTCTGGCTTGTAGGCTGGCTTAATAAAGGAGTCATTAATCAGGTTTGAGATTTCACAGAGGAATTTCATATTCTTTTCAGAAGACCTCTCTTGTAATTCCTAGCTGTTCTGTTACTTCAGGGGAAGATTAAGACTGGAATTAACAGAAGGCAGGATAATTGCTCTTGATACTTTCCTGATTGATATTTCAAATGTGTGGTGTGGAAAGTACCTGTATTTTAAGAGGACTCTAGCATTTTCTGTTTATTTCTCTTCTGCATTTTTGTTGTAAGCACAAACTGCATGCTTGCCTTCTTTTGATCAGACTAAATGTGGTGAGATGTAGTTTTCTAGGTTATCCTGAAAAGCAGAATAATGAATAATAGAAATAAAATGCTCCCATTCATGGGATGAAAATATGATCTTGTTTGGGCTTTTTTTTTTGGAGTGGGAGAGGAAACACAGCTTCACTAGTAAACTTTCTAATTAGAGTACCTTTAGGAAGAGCTATTTATAGATTTATGTAATTGGAGTAGAGGGGAAGCCTGTTGTATTGCATTTGGTAGGTAGAAGGAACGCAAATGCTGTGAAGAATAATGGCTTTAAATACAAAAATGAATGCTTTTATAAATACCTGAAACATGCCAGAAATCAGCAGG